GAGTATGAACACATGTCTAGTTTAGATAAGAATTTGGTAGAACGTAGGTTACCGACTAAGCCAAATTTTAAACCTCATAAACAACCTCCTATACTTTTTGCCCCTAATGTACTTCCTGAAGTAAAGAAAGAGATAGAGCGATTGTTAAAAGAATGTTTTATTAGGACAGTCAGATACATTGAATGGTTATCTAATATCGTGCTAATGTTAAAAAAGATTGGTAAATTAAGATTGTACATAGATTTTAGAAATTTAAATCTAGCAACACCTAAAGATGAATATCCAATGCCTACGGTAGATTAGTTAGTAGATTCAACTGTCGGACACGTAATGAATTCCTTTATGGATGGATATTCAGGATATAATCAAATATACATAGCTGAAGAAGATGTACACAAAACTGCCTTTAGATGCCCTAGGGCTTTAGGATGCTTTAAGTGGGTAGTTATGTCTTTCGACCTGAAAAATGTATGGGCGACTTATCAAAGGGCAATGAACTTGATTTTTCATGACATGATATGCAAGTTCGTTGAAGTGTATGTAGATGATAAAGTGGTCAAATCTATTAAAGAGCATGCGAAGTGGGATTCCTGATAGACATAAGAGTGGCAAGAATAAGAGAAGTGGAAAAATTTGCTGGCCGTTCTAGCAAGTGGAAGGCACGATTAGCGTTAGAAGCGAATAACCTACGCTTTACAGATGGCCAAAATTGTTCAAAACGAGGATGAACGACAGAAATAGAGTTGAAAGGGGCCAATGAGAAGTCGGCTGCCAAAAGAGTATTACGGGCATCAATAGCCTGTGCCTTTGTTTTATTAATGGTGTGGAAATGATCAATCAAGCTTTTGGAAAAGCAAGGAGGAACCGACTATTTATGGCCAAAACCAAGTGACGAACAAAAAAATCAAGGAGCATATATCTTGAACCCAGCCATGGCATTTGTTCCAGTTAAAATATCATGGAATAGTTCTCTCCCAATCAAGAATTGAGCCCAAATGTGCTCACTTCATTCATGGTGGAAGGAGGTCGCACATAAATGGGAATTTGGTGAGCAGAAAAAGNTTGGTGAACAGAAAAAGGAAAAAAGAGAGGGGTTGAATCCAAGTTATAAAAGAATGAAAAAACATACCTACTAGACGTAGTTACAGAGCTCAATTGGTAGATAGCTAGCCCATAACAACTAACTCATCGAAGAGGAGATGGTAGTGCACCAAGCTGGGAGAAGTATGCTCTCAACCACAATTGAGCGAGCCAAGAAGCCCATTGCCAGTAGGAGATGCACTATTCCTCAATTGAAATTGGAATGAAGTCATGCCTCTATAAAAAGCGGCTAAAAATAATGAACAAATATTCAAAGGCCTACCATGCACTAATTCATGCGCTATGGGTAGATAACTCATAGAAGGTTTCATACTGGGCATACAAATGACGTATTTACAAAGCCAAACCTGAAGAAAGGCCATATGTTGCATGGGAAGGTTCAACGCTAGAATTATTATAAAGTCCTTGCATACCAAAATAGGACTCAGTAAGTTTTTTGTCAAATTTTAGGGCAGTGCAGGTAACCAAAATGTCAGGAAAATTGGTATCGCCCAATGGCGGAAGGTTTACTAGGGCTCCAACGTCCCTCAGGGTAATAGACATTGGGTCAAGGGGGAAAACAAATAATTATTGTACTCGGACGACTAAAAACTCAGTGCAATAGGAAAAAACACCGAGTCATAAATTGGGGAATTGAGAGTAATTTCTAATAAATTAGAAATTCTAGCATGATCAAAAATCGCCTTGGTAAGGCCATGAATTACCTTGCGTGCATGCCACATACGAAAAGTAGTGTCAGTTTTAGGCCAGGTACAAATATCTTTCTCGCGAATCGGCTTCAGCGGTAGAGAGTTTAGAAAAGAAGGGTCTTGAGTGCAAGGGAATAGCTGACCCACCGCCATTTGTCTGACAGATTCAGCATCATTAAACAGCGAACCCAGATAAAATTCATGGAGCTCAGAGTTGGCTAGTGAAATAAAAGTTGAATTTATGTATGGCTTGGTAAGGAGGTTTTGGAAGTTCTCGAAGATAAGGGAGTTGTCAGAAGGGCTTTGTGGAGTAGCCATTTGCTGTAAAGTACAATCTTCGTAAGGGATTGTGAAAAACGTAGTAGGGAAGTAAGAAGATGTATAGTGATTTCTATTGAGAAAGATAAGCTCGCGGTGCAAAGACGTGGGTATAATGGTGCGATGAAGTGACGTGTCCTTTGGTTTATAGGGGTTACGTAGTCTTACACTTTTTACGATGCAGAGGGTTACCGCCAAATAAGATTAATAATTGGGATTATTCGCCTTTTTCGAGAATGCAAGCATTGCCGAAAATACAATGGAAGAATGTGGTATAAGATTAATATTTGATATTAATTTTGCCATATTGGGGGTAATTGTTGAAAGAGAAAAATGAGTCCCAATTAAAATGGTCCAAGAAATGGGGCTCAGTTAAGAAATTTGAGGGATAGGCCCAAATGAGACCGTTGTGAAATGGAGTGGAGGCCCATAAACAGAGGGCTATCATCGCTCATGCCTGTAGGATGCCCAAAATCGGAGCGAATGAAGTACCTTATTGTCGCTCAAAGTGACGGTCTCATTCTCGCCCAAACATTCGAAACACCCAAGATTTGAGCGAACATAGCGTCCTGTTGTCTAAAGCGACCGTTATTGAAGCAGTTATTGAGCAAAATTTATCATATTCCACGATCCAAGAATCTTGGTTGCAAGCAGTTAAAAGATGGGAGCAATATCAGCAGTTAAAAGATGGGAGCAATAGCAGCAGTTTCTTGACACGTCGGCCATTATAAAGTAAGTGGGTAGTTATAGAGCGACAAGCAGTTTTCAAACGGTTTTACAAGGAAAACTGGCAAAGGAGTATAAAAGGAAAAGAAGACATAGAAGAAAAGACGCCGAATCAATCACCGTTAAAAAAAGAATATATAATTTCATTTCTTTTAATTCTTATCGTCAAACTTTCAAATTACTTTGTTTGCTTGTGCCCTTTGGAGGCGTTTTGCTTCTTCTCAATCGTAAATTTCATAAATAAAGCCCCCCTCGTTGAGACTTTGTCTTGAGAGGTTTGTTCTTTACACAATTGTCTGAATCATCTTTTAATTGTTAACAAAACTCGATATTCCGTGCGAACCAAATTTTATTACACAATATTTCATTTGATAAGTGATAATTTAAACTTGTTGAATATTTGATGTTTATTTTTTTGATTTAGGTATGTATTACTAATTTATGGATGTGATGATATATTTTAATTTGTATTTATCATTTGAAAATTGAAGTAATGGAATCAAAACCAAAACAAACCTAACTAGAAACCAAATGAATAAGTTCCGATTTATTTCATATGTTAAAAAAAAAAAAAATTATTAGTTCCATTATAAAAAAAATTATTGGCTCGTGATTTAATTCGATTCCTTTGAAATCAGAACCAAATGAAATTATTTCCACCCCTATGCATAAGAGTTGATAAAAGTTGATCACTACAAAGTAAATTAGAAGACACAAAGTTTAATATAAAATTGATTAGGTCAAATGAGTGTTGGAAAGGGTCCAGCTATAACGTGTGGTCCCCATGCCAGACAGCCTAGCAATGCCTGTGACATTTTTGTCTAGGAAAAATTTAATCAAAGGAAGGAATTGATTACATTACTGTAACAAAATTCAACTACCAAGAAAGGAATAATATTACTGTCAACTCACTCACAGTAAGTGTTCCAAACAGGGGCTAATTAATTAATACCCTCAACACAAAATAATTTTAGATAATTTCAATTATGTGTTTTCTGTGGTACTATGAATTATTGTAGTGAAACCAAGCTTACACCAAGTATGAATGAATGAGAAGAATTTAAGTTTGAATTTTTTATATATGAAAAATTTTGTAAGTTAGACTAGAGTTGGAGGGTTTAGGAAGAGATCATCGATTATTCTCCCCTCATTTATTGTATTGGTTGTGATACATGTTTAAATTTTTTGATTTATAAAGAGAATTTAACTCTTTGTTTGGTGAAGATTAAAATTAAATTCTTAATAGATTTTGATAAAAAATGATGAAATATATGGTTAAAATTTATTGGTGACTTTGAGATAGATACTAAACAGGATTAAACAACAGTAAAAGATAAATTTACTGTGCAAAATTATGAGTTGCATCCTTTTACCATTTGCTACTTAACTTCACTCATTTTTTCTTTCTTCTCTTCACTTTTGTGCAGTCCTTATTTTCAACCTTTGGATGGACATGAATTTCAATCTCTTCAAATCTCAATCCATCTGCTGATATTTTTTTTGATACGGGCCTTAATGTTCTCAGTTTTGTAAACTTCTTTTTATCACTAAATCTAGTCTTCACTTCTTTATTTACATTACCTTTTTAAATCAGTAATGCATATATAAAACCCATCTGTTTGTTGGGATTTTCGTTAGTTTCTTGATTTGATTCAATCAGACTTTTTTCTATCAGAGATGCAAACAGTGGTCAGCTTCATTTGGTATGTTTCTCTAAGTTTTTATCTTTTAAGCATCACATACAATAGCTTTATCAGATTTTCGTTGTGGGTTTATGTGAAACAAATTAATATGCTTGCGATTCAATGGACTTGTCAGTTTAAATTTACTATTGTATGGATTGTTTCTCTTTTAATTTTGTAAAGTATAGCTATTTTGAGGTTATTTTTTTGTGCTGTTTGGCAACTGGATTTGTTGTTGATTTCCATTGATTGGGGATCGCATATTTGGATTGATGCACAGGATTAAGATTTTGTTTGTACTGATTTGACATTTTTGTTGGTCAGAGAGGAATACAGGTCTGGTTTTTCTGTAGTTATTTCTGTGTTTTGCCATTCTGGTACGTTGAAAATCTATAGCTCGGCTAAGAGTTATTTCAAATCTATTGATCTCAATATTTGTCATTGCAGATAGATTTATTGGTTTTTTGAATTGCTGACTAAAATAATGGGTAGAATAAGAGGAAAAGGGAGGAAACAGTCTGCAGTTGCTGCTGGAGACGATGCTGTAACTGGAGAGGATGAGAAGATACCGATGAGGAGAAGAGGAAGGCCTCAGAAACCTTTGAAGGGTGAAATTGAGGAAGAAGAAAAATCTGAGAAGATAGAAGAAGAAAATGATGAAGATGATAATAACACATTGAGTTCTGTATTGAGTAAAACTTCAAAAAATCAAGTTGCCACAGAGAATGGCAGGAAGAGAAAGAGGACTACAAAGATCAAGGACCATGCTGATTCGGTGAAAGAGGAAAATGGTGCGGGAACTAATACTAACACTACTGACTTGATCAAGTCTGTCGGGTTCAGGCAAAATGGAAGCAGGAGGAAAAATAAACCTAGACGTGCTGCTGAAGTTGGGGTCGAGTGCAAATGAATTTGTCTCGTATATTGAGGGTCGCAGCTTTGTTGGCTTTTATGGGGCTTTTGGTATTTCTTTTGTCTTAAGTTCATATTTTTGACAATGTCTTTCAAGAAATTTTTATATATTAATGTCTTTTGCTAGTGAAGAACATTGCAAGTGCTTGACATCTCTTTTTCTTTGTATTTCTCACTGCGACAGTTTAGAAGGCATGAGAATAAGAGTATAGACTTTGGTTAGAACACACGGAGATTTAAAAATTCATACATATTGAAAGAGGGTAAATTAGTTTACAAGTGAATGCAGAGTCTTCTTCTGGGATTCAGTAAAAGTGTAGGATGTTTCTATTAGATACATAAGTTGAGTTTCTTGTGCATTATGTATCTAGTACAATGTATCTAGAGTGTTGCGCTTGTTTTGAAGTGACCGAAGGAAAGTTAGGAAGGGATTAAGATTTATAAAGATGGTGGTTGGTTCTAACCTGGCTTTTATCACTTCAAGTTGACTCATTTCGTTATCTAGTAAAGCAACCTGGCGTTCATGTTTGCTAAAGAGATTATATCGACAAGGGGAATATATAGATACGAAGAACGGATTTAATAGGAGGATTGTCAACTAAAGAGGTAGTAAAGTTTGGTAAAACTATGATGGGAGGAAAGGAAAAGGGAGCGAGAACCAGTATTATCTATTGTCATTAATGATGATAGTATTAAGTAGATAGTACATGAAGTTAAACCCAAAGTCGATGCTTACTCTCAATCATGGAGTGCCATGGGGGAAAAAATGAATTTGTCTATTTCCACTGCTCGAGAAATGAAACAGGTCATCGACATGGATCCTCTTATAAAATGCGTACTTTCCAGTTCTTTACACCTTGAATGCGTATCTTCTTGTGGTGATTGCATTCATAAATTGCAAAATAAGATATATAGTTTAATACATTACAGGGTAGCAGTGCATATGTATGAATTGAGTGATTCTATTTTGTGTAAGATTCTATGTACCTTCTCTACTCGACTGGCGAGAAAATGGTTTGATGAATCTGATAAAACATGGCTGTGGAATGTGTGTTTATACTATTTATAAAATTTCTGTGGTTTAACGAACCTTTGCGCTTGGAAGATTTCATGAGGAGGAGCATTTCAAGTGAGCTTTAGTTAATGTATGATGGCGCTGATATGGTGGATTAGATAATACAGAACAAAAGTAATGCAAAAACGATGTTAAAATAGTCATGTACAATGTTGTTGTCTATTATCTGTTTCATAAGACATCATATAGCTCTTGCATATTGTCCCAACCCGGAAATTTTTTCATTCACACGTCTCCCATTTCATAGGACTTGCAACCTATGAACCTGTGGCCAATTTTGAAGCCCGAACTTTAGCTTCCATGCTACAAAAATTAACACTAATTTCTAATTACACGTAGATCAATATTTTTATTTTGGTCAGGACCTAATTATTACAAAAGTTAAAAGTTCAATCTAAATGTCTAGAAAAATTGATCGAAGATTCTTTCATGAATAATGCTATCTAACATCAGTTGTGTTGGACGCTAGTTTAGGTGTCAACATATTATAGGTCATATTAAATGCAACGTAATTCCTTATATTATTGAACATGTAATTTAAAAGTAATGTTATTCAGCGCAATTAGTATTTAACATCAATCTAGATAGCAACACTTGTGTTATTAAATTATAAGTTCAATTAAATACAAAGATTTATGGTGTTCACACTGATACTAGGTAGCATTATTCATAATTTAATATTATTAGTGTTGTTATTTAAACTTATGTTGAACACTCGTAGTCCTAAATAACATTACTTTTCTTTCATTAATAGAATAGAAGCTAGTTGCTTGTTTCTATAACGACATAAGAGCAAAACTAATGTTGGATTTTTGCCCCTCATTATTCCAATTTTTTAAAATATAAATAGTGTAGAGGGGATGGGGGAATAAACCTATTCTTTGGGGGTGGAATCAATAAAATTGGGTCAAATTTGCACTCTAATTTATAGATATCAACCGTTACGCAAGGACAAAAAATTCAGCTGTCAAATTGTTTCCAACAGCTAATTTTTGATTTCCAACGGTTATATCCAAATATGTGAATTTTTTTTTTAAATAGTAAAAATTAAAAAACATGGATAATAAAAATTCTATAAATACCCCCAGTCTTCACCCCAATTCTTCACACAAATCTTTAATCTCTCCTCTCACATAATTCTTTCGTCTACATCTCCAATTTCTTTTCCTCTATATTCTATTTCTCATTCATTAGAAAACAATGGGGGAGAATTCCAATTCTAAAAACTCGTCAAAAAGGGCCAAATTGTAGAACTAATGTAGAATGGATCAAAACAGTAGAAGTAATGTAAATTGTCTGACTTGTTGGTATATAAGTCAAAAATTGTGAATAGTGCATAGTCCTATAATTTGACGGTTTATTTCAATTAATGTGCAGTAACCTACAAATATATACTCAATTTTTTTCCCCACCTTTTCTCCTAAACGTTATTTCATATTAGGGATGGCAAAAAATCCGTTAAACTTTGAAAAGTTTAGAATACTATTGTTTTATGTTTTAGACACCAACGCAACGAAAAAAAGAAATTAAAAGTAATAAGTGACTTTTTAATTATTTCTAAATGATTAGATCAACTACGTCAATTTATCCAAAGTCTAAATATCACAGTTTGTAAATCGAAAGCAGTAAATAACATCGATATAATCACGGAGAAAACCCTTCGCAAATGATCAAAAACTCCGGCACTTTGCCAAACATCAATCTACTATAAATGATGAAACTTACAGTATGGTCCAGACCTATCTAACCCTTAGTCCCCTCCGACCTTCTTCATGTAATCACTTTCACCCCTTCTTTGCTGCGTGCTCCTCACACCAGCTCTGAACCCTTAGTATCGTTTATCTCCATGTGGACCTCCGAGAACGAATCTCGTTCTTTAGCACTGAAACTCCAAGTGCCTCTTCCCAAAATTTCAGCAACTTTGAAGGCTAATTGGCGAATGTAGGTTTGGTGTTTGATCAGAGGTCTCTTTTGTTTTGATCTGTTGTTGTATATAGAATGTTTATAGCTCCATCAACAAATCTAAGTTTGAATGAATTTATGAATCAAATAATATGGTGGTTGAATCATGAAATCAATGAAAGTGTTTTGGATTTTCAAATGAATAATCCATACGGAATAATTATGATTCAACACACTTTGAGACGTTCATGGGGTTAGATATATATAGAAAAAAGTGTTTAGGATGAAAAGAGCTAAGAAAATACTTGTTTATACTAAATAGGGATTCTGGTCGTTGAACCACTGATCAAACCCTAGGTTAGCACTAGGCGAGTGACGCGTCTGCCGCTTGAGCGCTAGGCAGTGACGAGCTCACTGCTTTTGCCTCTCGAGCGCCTGTTGGCTGGTAGGCTAGCGAAAAAGCGTACTTCTCGATATCAACTTCTTCAAATCCGAATTTTGATCTTCTTCTTGGATTTCTTTGACATCTTTTTGGACTTCATCAACTCCAAATTATTTTTTACAATAATTTGGACTTTACTAAACTTATTTTGACTTTAATTGCAACTCGATTAATTCCTAATACAAATCAATTAGACATGATTTTGACTTAAGAAAATGCCAATCACAAATTAGATTCAACAAACTTGACGGGGATTACCCATATAATTGAATAAAACGAGTAGGGCCGGTACGAGAATTGTTTCCTCGAAACGGGTACGGGATAGGGTTTATTTTTTTTATTTAAGTTTTTTATCAAATAAAAAGAAAAGAATCATCATCCTTTCTAAAAGGAATATGCATTGTTCTTAACAAATTGGACAAAAAAAAAAGTGATAATTTTCACCAACTATAAATAAAATAAAATAAAATAAAATAAAATAAAGAGCAGTAAACTCCTGCCCCACTTTAACTGGGTATGGGGATAGAGTAAGGTGACAAAAATACCCTATAAGACGAGGGACAAAAATAACTAACATGCCATGTTGCCTTTCCCATTTCAGATGGATATGGAGATAGGGTAAGATGACAAAAATATTCGATGAGACGGGAGGCAAAAATGACTGACCTGCCTTGTTGCCTTCCCTATTTCAGATTAAACCTCCCCTCCCCCCCTTCCTTTTTCACTTTGGATTTTTACAGCAAACATTAGTTTTGCTCTAATATTATCCATTATCTTGCTATTAACTACCTAATATATGTGGAAGGATAGATGAGATGTTTATATATCTTCTTCAAGAGTTCAAGTGTATATTTCGGATATATGATAGTCCATTTTCCATCAAAAATCCAACCCCTGTTCTAATTACAAAAATGACTTATTTAGACTACATTGGCTGACGTGGTGACCGTTGGATCAGAACCTGTGGCCTTATCTCCCTGACTAAGGCTTCACATCACTGTCTACTCATACAATTAATACATTGATAATGGGTCAGCCACCCTACATAATAGGCTAACATACTGACAAATTGTATTACAAGTTATATCAATTACTTCTGAGAGAGATCCTCATATCTTTTACAAGGAAACATCGTCGGTTTTGTGAACCTTGGATGAGTAGGAGACAGCTTCGGAGAAATTTGAGGTCCCCAACCACTTTAAGCAGTTTCATCTTTGGAGAAGTGTGAAGGCCTCGACCCGTTTTTCTTTAGTTGTGTGTTTGACCTACTGGGTCATCCTTTGACTTTCTTGTTGACTGTTTGCCCACGAGCCGTGCAATGTGGCCTCATTTCATTGGACCTTGGAACCGAGGGGTAGCAATAGTGCCCTAAGTATAGGCATGATTGTTTTGTAATGCATGGACTTATTCAATTACTTTAAAAATGAGGAAAGATAAAACTTCGTAGGGGGTGGTATAATTTTTTTTTACAATAGTCCCCTAAGTCTAAGCATGACTATTTATGTAATGGTTAGAATTTGAGGATGTGTCTGACCTTTTGGAGGTCTAGTGTAAGTGTTGTCTAAGGTGGTTGACTTAG